CAAGGACGCTATCAGGGGCTCCTGGCCTTACTACTAGGAACAAGGACTCTATCAGGGGCTCCTGGCCTTACTACTAGGAACAAGGACGCTATCAGGGGCTCCTGGCCATACTACTAGGAACAAGGACGCTAGCCCCTGGCCTTACTACTAGGAACAAGGACGCTATCAGGGGCTCCTGGCCATACTACTAGGAACAAGGACGCTATCAGGGGCTCCTGGCCTTACTACTAGGAACAAGGACGCTACTAGGGCTCCTGGCCCTACTACTAGGAACAAGGACGCTATCAGAGGCTCCTTTAATAAGGCCTTTTTGCTCACCTTTTGCTGTTTTTCGATTCAGCGGGTGTGGCCGACAGCCCGATCTGCAAGGACCACTTTCAAAAGACGACTGGGGCACGTTCAGTACCACGAGTCTTCATTGATGGAAACTGCATAGGCAGGCAACTACTGTTTTCAGTTTGAGAAGAGAATAAAAAGGAGTAATAGCAATGGCCTCCAAACTCATTCAATTAAATACAAAGAAAAACAATCATATTTTGAGTTACCAATGGGAATGGATTCCAACCTACTAGCGGTGGCTTTCAACCTAGAGAGAAAAGAGACCGAAGAGTTTCTTGGAGAAAGGAATGACTAGTAGCGATGCACTTGTTACTAGTAGCTTCTTGCTACTGATAGCGATGGCCTCCAACCTAATAGCGTTCTTGCTCCTAATAGCGATGCCAGGAGCCCCTAGTAGCGTCCTTGTTACTACTAGTAAGGCACTTGTTACTAGAAGCGTGGCACTTGTTTCTACTAGCTTCTTGTTCCTAGTGATAGCGTCCTTGTTCCGAGGGGGCGGGACAGATGTTGCGGCCCTGGCTGGAAGGCGCGGCTTTCTGACCGCTTCTGCCCAAAGGCACATATTACAGAGAGAATTAGTAGTAGTAGTAGTAGTAGTAGTAGTAGTAGTAGTGGCCTGCAACATTGGCCTCCAACCTACTAGCGCGTGTTGTCTTTTCAATAGTTCAAAACGTGGGCTGCCAGGGGAGAACTGAAGGACATGCTGCTGAAGGCCGGGTCCCCTCGGGTCGCCAGGTCCCCACATGTCTTCAACACGGCCATGGCCATGTCTTTGTCCCTACTAGCGTCCTTGTTACCACCAGTAAGGCACTTGTTACTAGAAGCGATGCACTTGTTCCTAGTAGTTTCTTATTACTAGTAATGCCAGGAGCTACTAGTAGCTTCCTTGCTCCTAATAGCGATGCCCTTTGTTCCTAGTAGCATCCTTGCTCCTAGTAGCGGCCATGTCTTACGGTTCGGTTCAGCACCACAAGGCCAAAGCGATTGAATGATGAGAAAGAGTGACGAAGCTGGTGACGGTCTGCACTCCTCGAGTTCAAGTTGGTCGAACTTTCCGTCTCGGCTTCGAAAAAAGAAACCGTTGCAAAGCTACTAGGAGCAAGGACGCTACTAGTAACAAGTGCCACGCTAGTAGTAACAAGTGCCTTACTAGTAGTAACAAGAAGCTATTAGGAGCAAGGACGCTACTAGGGGCTCCTGGCATCGCTAGTAGTAACAAGAAGCTTGTGTTTTTTCTTGTCTAGTTGCAGCTCTGCACCGAATCCCTCGAAGACTGCGCGCAGTGCGGAATCGGTTCAGCCGCTGTTGTACATTGACCCAATGTGTGTCCGATGAATGTGACCGATGCGACCACGCCCAAGTAGCGTCCTTGCTCCTAGTAGCTTCTTGTTACTACTAGTAAGGCACTTGTTCCTAGTAGCGTCCTTGCTCCTAGTAGCGATGCCAGGAGCCCCTAGTAGCGAACAATGTGTGTCAGTTGTTTTCCTCCGTGTCAGAATGCTGTCAAGTTGACAATGTCAAGCTTTGTGGTGCTTTGCGTGTGCTACAGCCGAGTAGTGGACCGTGCAATTAACAACGCTTCTGCATCTCTACCTCAGCAGCTACATTGTGACCACACCAGCTAGAAGCTACTAGTAACAAGTAACAAGCGCATTCATTGTGACCACACCACTGTGATCTCCAGTTTCAGCTTTCTGCCATGACTAGCTGACTAGCCACGCTCCATTCTGTCGGGCAGGATATTCAGGAAGTTAAGTTTCCAAAATCTAGGAACCTCTAGGAACCAAATGAATAGTGCGAGCGCTTCTTCAAGGAAGCTCCTCCCCGCCGCCTTTAGGGCGGCATGGAGAGCTTCCTTGAAGAAGTGTGAGCTATCCTGCGTCAAGTAGCTAGTAGCGTGTTGACTTAGAAAACACGTTCTTTTGTCTTTCACATCACGTCGGAGCAGAGCTCAGCCACCGTGAACCACCGTGAGCCTGCAAGCCATGGGCGCGGCCTGCTCGACCGAAGGGCGCGATGAGGCAGAGGCGCCAGTCAGACAGGTCCTGCTACTAGCTCCTGGCATCGCTACTAGGAACAAGAAGCTACTAATAGCGATGGCCTCCAACCTAATCAAAAGAAACAATCAGAAGGAAATTTGAAATCACTTGTGGGACCTGGCACACAGTTTCTGGCAGTCCATGCTCTTCGACCGAGGCTGCGCAAGCTGCGGCGGGCAAGGGCAGAGAGGGCAGAGAGGGCAGAGGACGCGGAAGCCGCAGCTGCTTCAAGTTGTGCTGAAAGCGGAAAACGTGAACCCACTCTCCCCGGGCCCTACTTAATTAAGCTACTAGCCTAAGTTAGCTTCTAGGTAGGATGCAGGATAACTCATGCTTCTTCAAGGAAGCTCCCTAAAGGGGGGAGCTTCTTTTTTTGTTCTCATGCCGTCGGACAGGGTCGTCGGCGACCAGTGAGCGTTCCGCGTCACAGGTCGAAGTTCCTTCTAAGTACATCAGACTCACACGAGTGAATCAAAAGGGATGGACCATGAAAATGGCGTCGCTTTGGCGCCTTTGTCGAAAGCACGAACAAGAAGCTCAAGTGTAGCATTATCAAGGAAGGCTTCGGCGCCGTGAAAGGCGCCTTTTGGATAGGTTCGGCCGTTACATTTATTGCCTTTGTCAAGGAGGAGTGGTGCCACGACGATCTGTTTGCTCTTACAGTAAGTGAAAGCAGCTCTGATGATGGCAGCGTATGATTGCAAAGTGCAAACGGTGCCCTTAGGAAGCACAAAGCGCCACCCTTGTGTGAACGCGAAGGCGGCGAGCTCAAAAACAGAGCATGCAAGGCCTTCACTGACCCGCCATCGGAGTGTGTTCGTAAACTCCAGGAAAACTTTGAAGTTAGACCGGGAGAGCTTGGGCTTATCACAGAACGACAGCTCTGGGTCATTGTGAACACACCATGTATACTGTTGCACCTGAGCATCCCATGGCCATCTTTTGTCGTGGTGTTAACGAAGGCTCAGGAAGGCATGCAACAGCGGTGGCAATAGCACTGCATTGATCCGGTTTTCTGCAAGCTTTATTGATTTTTGTGAGCCAAAGCTGCCTGGCAAACACGTCATTCTCTTTCAAGGCCAGGTCATGTTTGTAAAGTCGAGCAGTTTCATCCAGTTGCTGCTTTGCCAGCAAGTCGGCTCTTCGATTGAGAATAATGTCCTGTTTGTTCGACCCAGCGGCATGTGCCATAGCATCTGTGAGCTCTGATACTGGTGTATCTTCCAGAAGGTGTGCGGGACACCAGACTACCTGGAGCACATGCTCACAGTGATGTTGGCGTTGGGCAACTAATGCACACAGGAAGCCCCACCAGTTGGTGTGAGTCCACTCAACTTGAACATGGCCAATACGTTGCATCTCCTGGAACTGGTTGACAATGGTGAGCGAATCAGTGTGAACCACCAATGCTTGCTCAGCAATGGCAAAGGCAACTAACAGACCCCAAAGTTCAGCTGTATAACTTGAAAGGCGCCAATGGTAAACCCGACCTGCTGCAAGTAACGATTCATCAGCTGCCACAACTGCAAATGAGGCCATGGTATGCCAGGGATGACTGGAAAGTTGAACCGAACCATCAGTCCAGACATGCTGAGCTGCTGGGATTGGAGAGGTCCAGTCCGCCACTGCAAGGTCTGATGTGTTTGAGACCTGTAGCCGATTGCGTACTCCATCCAGAGGAAGCTCAACAATACCAAACGTACTGAAGTTTGGCCCCAGGAAGAATTGGGTGGAAGGCTGTATCAAGTCCTCTGGAAGCTGATCACATGTGTGCACAAAATGTGGCAGTGATTCCTTATCACGCCCACAAAACCGGCACTTGTGGTCATCAGTCAGGCCAGAAGCGGCAAGCCGATCCGCAGTTGTAGTACATCCGGTGATGGCACTTTCCCAGTGAAAGAGAATCGAAAAACCTGGGTTGAAAATTTTTGAAATCTTCCGCTTTGCTGACAAAGTCACAGAAAGGTCAAGAAACCCAATGGCTTTGCTGATATCTTTCCTCGGCATTAAACAGGCAGTCTGATAGCACTTGTTGGCTGCAAGGCTCGTGAGAATGCACTTGAGGTCCGCCAGGGAGAACTCAAGAAAATCAACTGCCGGTACATCCAGGATGGAAAAGGCAAAGGGGGCTGCCCAATGAATATCCAATATCTGGCATGCCTGGGCAAATTGGGTCATCCATGATTGTGCGGTCAACTGATCTTGTTCATAAAGCGCAGACCAGCACTGGCGTGCATATGCAGATGCACGCAGGAATCTCGCGGACTCAATTATGGTCGTCACAGCCCGGTACAAGAAGGGGTCCAACTTGTGCGCCTTATGGACGATACACAACAGCAGGTGTTTGGATCTCCACATCGGTCTGTCCTGCCATATGGCATCTGCAATCGCATTCTGCAACCTGGCCAGGATCCTCTTGGGAATGAAGTTCAGTTGTGGCGCGAATGCAATCTGAGGCAAGACTTTGGTGGTGAGAATCTGGGCACGTTTACTGCTGTCACAGGGTAGGGCCCTGATAGCCTCACAATCACGAAGTGCTGATTGAATCTTGGCACTTGGGAAATTGCCAACATTCTTCTTTGTCGTCTGGATAAAAGCTCCAAGGATGTTGACCACCTCAACTACCTTCATCTGCGGAAATGCAGCTTTCAGTTGATGCCGAAGAACACCGGAAGTTGCAAAGGCTTCACATTTGCTGGCATTGAGAAACTGGCCACATAACGAGTCCCACAATTCCGTAGCCCGGACTGCAGCAACCAGGTTGGCTGTGGAGGGCAGCCGGGACCAGATATATGTGTCATCAATAAATGCTCTGAAGTCAATGCCATCAATGTGGGATAAAATCCATGCCCATATTGCCATGTGGATGTTGATGCATAGAAGGCTTAATGAGCAGCCTTGCACTACACCGTTTGGAGTGGAAATTGCCGTTGCTCTTGTCCATTGTTTGAACGAGAGAAATCTTGTCATACGCGTGTAGAGGGCCAAGAACCCACAGACAAAGGCCTGAGGCAGGCCTAGGGCCAGCATGATTGCAGCGCAAAGCTTGGGCATCAACCGATCAAAGCACTTGGCCTTGTCCAGTTTCAAGGCGGCAAAATGTCCATGAAGGCTGTGCGCCCTGTCAATCTCCATCTGCATTGTCATATGTACCTCAGCCATATGACGCCCCTTTATGCCCCCTTTCAATTGAGGTGGTAGAACGTCCTGCTGCCATTGCTGTAGCTGTAGGAAACGCAGGCCAGTATACAGCAAGGTAAATGCAGACTGCAAAGAGATAAGGCGCTTGGATAATGGAGCATCGCTACCGTCCTTGTTATGAATGACCATCCGGACTTTGGTCAAAATGCTGGGAAAGCCAATCAGGCCAGCTTCAATATCATTAAAAAGTTGAGCCACTGGTCTGAACGCGGCAGGTGGGAGAGCTTGGACCTCCACGGTCTGCCATCCATCGAGGCCAGCTGCTGCTTGTGGTCGTCGACGTGAGGCTTGATGCCACAGTTGCATCTCGGTGATTGGTGGGAGGTTGATGACCTTCCTTTTGTCATGGATGTATGGCCACACCTGCTTGAGAATCTGCATCTCATGGTCATGGGCAGCATTGACGGAGAACACTGTATCCCACTTGTCGGCAATGTGATCCATAGCCGCCTGAGGATCATATATAATGTTGCCCATCTCGTCTTCAACAAGATTAGGCGGAGCCACCCGACCTTTGCGCTTGAGATATTGGTAGACAATCTTCCCAATGGCCATCGACGAAGTAGCATGTTTCATGGATGCCTTCCATTTGGCAATGGCTGCAAATTTCAGCTGTCTCACCTCATCCTGAATGGCCTGAAGAGTCAATGTAATGATGTGCGGGATGTCATGGACAAAAAGGCAACGAACAGAGAAGGGCACCAACTTTGCCACCCGGAGCCGCCGAAGTAGTCTGGATTGTGTATTGCGAAAGGTTCTCATGTCACCCGGGGATGTTGTATCCCTCCGAAAGCGGAATTCCAGTTCACGCAGTGATCGAAGGGATGCTTGCAACAGCCTAAGTCTGGGGGAGGCCAAACTACCAGAGGCTTCCTGTTGAGCACACGCCCGTACCTTGTGGAATTTGGGCAATTTCCCTCTGATGTGAGGACCCTTCTCCCATGAGGCACCATTTAGCAGAAGCAGCTGTGTGGCATACTTGTTGAAAGTTTCCCACTTGGTATCCGCATCCGTCCCACAGGAAAACTCTTCTCTGTAACCACTCCATAGTTGATCCGCCAAGTGATTGACAGGACACCCAGGATCATTCGGGTCAGCATATTGCACATGCTCCAAGTTAAGCATTGCCGGTCTCTGAAGCATAGTGCCCTCCTGCAAGATACGGTCCCAGGCAAAGGTCGCCTGAACGGGTCTATGTTGTCTATCTTGATGGTCAAGTACTCGAATGTTGAGAAGTGCAGTAAGAGCAGTGCGATTCAAAAGTATGCCATCGATAGAGGATTGACCCTCTCCTTCTATGTCAGCTGAATGCTGGAAGAAAGTGCAGGGTCGCTCAATGTCCCCATGCTCGTTGACCTGTAGGAGAGGATCCGCCCAGCCCCAATGATCCAGTGCAAGCTGTACAGCGGGGTACATCCCTGGTTCCATTTGAAAGTCGCCAGCGATAAGGATGGGGACATCACCAAACTGAGCTGCAACAGCAAAAAGCTGGTCCAGCAACTCATTGTTGCGGTTGAACTTTGCACGCTCTGAGGCCGCATTGGCAATACCATAAAAGTTGAAGGCCAGGAGCTTGACGCCTTGGGAAACTTGGTGCCATGTGGCTGTGACCCGGGCAGTAGACCTGAGTAGAGACCATTGGCCTGATACATCCATCTTGTCATCAAAAAGCTGTGTGAGCTCTTTGTTAGCACAGGTTGCAGTCCCACCAGATGGAATGCGAAGGGTCCCATTGCTGGCTCGCTGTTTGATGAGTGGCTGCGAGCAGAACAGCCGCATATTACAGAGAGAAGCCTTTCTCTGTGATTCTGCCATGTTGGATTCCGCAATACGGGCCTCCTGGAGCATGAAGACATCTGCATCCCATTGTAGGCAGTTGAAATTTGTCTGGAAGGAGTCCACATTTGCTGAGATGACGGACCATTTTGGACCTTCTCCAGGGAACCCAAGCGTCTGGTCAAAGTCAAAACACTCCCACCCATCGCTCAACTTAGTCATCCGACGG